TGAAGGCCGTCGACCCGCATTGTGTCTGGCAATAGCGGAGGGGGGGGGGGTTAATCCTTACTTCACACGCGTTGCTCAATAGTGGGATGGGGGTTCGTGGTGGGGGGGCGGCATGGGTAGCGACCAAACTCAGGTAGCAAGGTTAATAGTGCAGCGTGCTAACCACTGGTAGCGCGTGGGTAACGTGGGAACTCTGACAAAGACACGCTCCGCGTTAGCGAGTCGGGCAAAATATACCCTCCGCTAAAGGAGGGCTCTGCAAATTCCCTCGAGTGTAAGTTCTTTCCGCCAGCAGTGGCGTGAGCGGGCAGTTGCAGGGCTGCGCCTTCACCAAACAATTGTGGCTACCAGCGCCGCCCCCCTCCGCACATCAATAACGATAGGAGTGAAAGTGACCCGGTGTTGATTTCTCTCGTTACTAAGTCTTCCCTGGGGTGATTATCACAAGGTGAGAGAGAGAGAGCTAGACTAAACTAAAACTGTTTTTTTATTTTACCAGATAAGGCCCACTGCGCTATATAGCTCTTTTTCAGAAGCGACCTGGCCACAAATTATAAGCTCAACGAAGTGGCTTGTCGTGTGGACATATATAGCAGCCAAATACTATTAACACATGTTTCTAAATATGGAGGGAAAAAACCGGAGGACTCGGAGAAAAATCCACACGACAACGGGGAGAAAGACACACAAACTACAAATATACCGCAGGCGTCAGGGTCGGGATCCAACCCACGATCTCCTGTATACCAGGCGAAGTAGTTAACATCTCCTCGCCACTGTGGCCACGGCGCTTCCCAAATCAAGCGGCGATTCGCCGCGTTCGTTCCCGCTCCGCGCCGGGGTTTGATTCGTCCGCGCATTAATATTCCGCCCGGGTGGCGATGCGGTGCGGTGAAGTGTAGCTCACGCAAAGACAGAGATAAAGGTCCCCAGTATAATCGCAACAGACTGCTGGGGAAAGTGCCGTTAGCGAGGAGCGCCAACGGTGCAAAGCACAGGCGCAGCTCTGCAATGTCTTGCTCGCTCGCGCTGATGGAAGGGGCCTCCACTGGAGGGAGCTCTAGGGGAGCCCCACTCCACTTTGTTGCAGCCGGAGCAGTCCAGAAGCCTGCTCCTCGAATTACTTTAGCCACGACACATCAATCTCACCTTATTTAATTAAGAGACGTGTAGCTATTATCAGTAGAGGGTACGGCAGGATAGTGTTGTTATGTATAGGCGCACCATGTACTCTAGTGGTAGTGCCTAACGCCGATTTATCTCTCCTCCCAGCCAGACCCGTGGCAGCAGCATTTCAGAAAATATCGAGAGAGGAATGAAGCCTGGCGGTCGAACGAGTGACTCGCAATGGGAAGGTTGCGAGTTCGCATCTTGGCAGCAGAGGAGGGTTGACTCAGCCCATCTTCCCATTGTGGTGGGAGGGAGAGGGGGGGCGATAAAGAGGTACTAATTTGTGGGGAAGTCAACAGCGGTCGGCTTATGGAAACACGAGCCACTGCATAAGAATCTGAATTCTCTATCGCCGGCTCACGCCGTCACTGCTCATTTGACCAGGAAACCACTTTGACTCTTGGTGAAGCCCTGGAGTGCACACGTGGAAGAGGGCGATGGCAAAGGGGGGAGGTTGAGGTGGGTGGATGGGGGGGGAAGCTCGGGCAGGGCAAAGGGACAGGAGGGGGGAAGGGGGTGGGTGTCTCTGCCCCCGACATTAAAAAATGTTCCGGGTTAAGCCCAGGCAAGAAAAACGAGATCGAGGGAGTTTGTCTTGATCCGAGATTTTTCAAAGAGAATGCGCGGAACGCGATACACCTCCCGGCCACGTCCCAGGCTCTCGCGCTCTCTCTCTCTCACTCTCTCTCGAGTAACATGCGCTCTCGTATCTTGCTTGATCGTCAGACGCCCCTTGAAGGCGAATTACTCGGTTCACTGTTGATGGGGGATCGTGTATTTTGGAAGTGTTTATTTAGCACGAGGCTTCTTTTTCTTTTCCTTCGTAAGGCTGCTGATGTAGACGTAGAGCAGCAACTGCAATCTCTCATTCAGGTGCTCAAGCCAGACAGCCGCGTCAGGAGCGTATCGCTGTGATGTCTCCTTCGTATTTGTGGATAGGGCATCAATTCGTTCTATGTTGTGTACCGTCTGTTCTGGATGGCCGCAGTCGCACACTACTGGAGAGTTTTTTTTATTCCATTCGTGCATCAGGTATCCGCATCTGCCATGGTTTGGAACAGAATAATGTAAAACATTGAGGCTGGCTCGGCCCTCCGAGCCAACATTTTCTTTCATTACTTTTTTTCTAAACTCGAAAAAAATCTGAGTCGAATTGAACTCTATAACCCTTCTAGAGCACCACTGGAATGCGTGCGTGTGCGTGCGTGTAAGAGGGGAGCGGTGATGTAGCGGTTCGCGTGCTGCAGAACGAACCCGGCGACCCGGCTTTAATTACAGCAGTGTCGATTATCTGAACCGGTCCTCGGCCTCCCCTAGCACAACTCAGCCTCAAATTAATACTTGCTGTGATGTATAAATATCGCTGCTGGGGGCGTGGTGTTGGCCACCCACCACTTCGTGTGCCCGGTCGGTCTTCATAGGTGCTCGCTAAAAGCGCTTTCCCCAACAGTCTGTTCAGGCTATACGGGGGATCTTTGTCTTTGCTTTTTGACTCACTCAGTCACGATTGTATTGTTTTGGGCACTTGCTTCATACCACCAGATTCACACAATTACAACCGCCAGCGCGCAACAATGAACTATGTTTGATTGAAGCGATGGTAAATTACTCGCCTCAATATCTATCAATAGTCGACCTATTCGCATGCCCGTTTAAAAAAAAACGGGTGTAATCATGAATATTGTTTGAATGTAACTCCCATCAGGCCCCATGGTGTCCACAGATGCAGTCTCAAACAAACTCGTATTATACTGGTAGGAACCGCCTGGTTACACCAGCCCACAGGGAATTATTGTGTCCGTCCGTCCGTCGTGCATCCAAAAATGGGAGGGGTGGGGCTGGGTGGAGAGGGGAAGGTCTGGGTGGTTGGGGAGGGTGGGGCTGGGTGGGTGGGGAGGGTGGAGCTGGGTGGGGAGGGGCTGGTCACCCCGTGGTGCCCTTATAAAACTCAACGTTTAACCTACTCACGCCGGCTTGTGCCCGCCCTCACAGTCGGGCATATTTGCGGAATACACCACACCGCCGTTGACCTTGGCCAATGACCGAGCAACCCAACGTTCCTACCAGCTCCCTCCGCAGGAATGTGTTCCAACCTGTCTCTATGCATACGCTATGATGAAGTGCCATTGCCCGAAACGTCGCCTATGACACGTAGCTTCTCCTTGAAGGCCAACGGCGCTATTGAAGAGCCTGTTGAGTGCTGTAAATGTTTCAAGCGCCCCACGAGTCGAACGAACCGCCCGAGCCACTTGAACGGCGGCGTCGAGCCGCGTGCGAGTTGATGACTCGGTTAGTCAACTCCAATCAACTGCACAGCAACCTCCACACAACCAGGCAAAGACAAAGATCCCCCGTGTAGCCTCAACAGACTGTCGGGGCAAGTGCTCTCAGCGAGCAGCACCTATGAAGGACGGAACAGCACACGAGGGGTCCAGCACCACGGCCTTTGTCTCCCCAGTGGCGATGTTTGCACATCGCACCGGATGCTCATTTGAGGCTGAGTCGACCACACACAAGCACCGCACACACGTATCCACCACGTACAGTATTGCTTTCAATTATGCACTCATCAATTTTGGCGTTTGCCCGGTAATCTCTATTAGAGCACGCGGCCGCGGTGGTGGTGATGGTTGCTTTGGTGGAGATTATTGTTGTAGTGGTTGTGGTGGTAGGGGTGATGATGGCCGTGGTGTTGGTTATTAATGTTGTTGTTGTTGTTGTTTGTGGTTGTTGTTGTTTATGTGCAAGGAGCTGCACCGCGCAGCGTGAGCGGAGTGACCGGAATTCGTTTCCTGCCAGACTTTGAAATGAAGGGAAATAAATAAAAACCCCGCAGACAGATTTGTAGGGAATCTCGCAGCGCGTTCAGAAATCGCGGCTGTGAGCGCGAGGCGGCGACACGGGGGGGGGGGGGGGGGTCAGTGGAGGGGGCACGGGGAGGGGTGGAGGCACGGGGGAGGGGGGGGGCACGGGGGAGTGGTGGGGGGCACGGGGGAGGGGGGGTGGGGCACGGGGGAGGGGTGGGGGCACGGGGGAGGGGGGTGGGGGCACGGGGGAGGGGTGGGGGCACGGGGGAGGGGTGGAGGGCACGGGGAAGGGGGAGGGGTGGGGGGCACGGGGGGTGATGGGTGGGGGGCACGGGGTAGGGGTGGGGGGCACGGGGGGGGTGCACGCGGGGAAGACTCGGAACCGGGCACCGATGGAGGGAGTGAGGGAGCCCCGCAGCTGGTTATCGGCATTAGGGGTGCGACCAGTTCGCCTCGCACGGTAATCACTCGCGTCGTTGTGCACAATGTGAGGAGTCGCGACAATGTGAGTCGCCGAGACAAACCTCAGCGGATAAATTCGCCCCACCTCCTCCTCCTTCCCATAGTGGCCTCGTCTTTCCACGAAAAAAATATTAAGTACATATGTTTACACAACCCCATCAGCCACACACACAAGCCACCTACGAGTGGGATGAGCCGTGTGGTATACGTATCTTCCACGCGGTGTATCTACAAAGCGGTGTGTTGAAGTAGCAACTAATTGCCATGTTCTGTTTAAGTGACGGACATTACTAAGTGGCTGTGTCGGGTGGCGGCGGGTTTAACGACACATTTATATTTACGCGATCTAACCCCAAAAAAACTCCGTTTATTCGGGGTCATCCTGGGTGGCGAAAGCCGACGTGTTAAACCGACGTCGTGTCCCTGCGTGTATACATGCCTTCGTAGCGTATGCACATCGTGCATCTGCGTTAACAACACCGCATGTCTGCACCATGTACTTGCGCCGTGTACCTACACGTGTACCTGCACGTGTATCTGCACGTGTATCTGCACGTGTACCTGCATGTGTACTTGCACGGGCTACCTGGCTCGCGACCGCTCTGCCCCCGCGAGTCCGCGCCGCTGCTGGGCTCCTTATCTGTGTGCGGACATGCGGAGCGCATCTCCTAAACATATTCATTGCGTATTAAACGCGTCGTGACACCTATATCTCAGCGAACATCCTGCATGATAAGCAGCGGTGGGTGGGTTCCCTCCCGGGTGGGTTCCCTCCCTCTCTTCCCTCCCTCTCTTTTTTTTTACGATCAGTGGAAACAAGAAGATGCTCAGTGTAGTCGGCACTTTGCTTCGTTCATCATTTCGTAAAACAATTTTCATAACTTTGCTTTATGTAAACCCCCACCTCTCGCTAACTCTCTCGCTCACTCTCTCGCTCACTCTCGTTCTGCACGCAGCCCTTCTCGCAGTCATGGAGCTCCCTCCCTCTCTTCCCTCCCTTCGCCTCCCTCCCTCCATCTCCCACCCACTGTCTCTCGCTTCCTCCCTCCTTCCATCTCCCTCTAGATTTCTCTCTCCCTGACACGCAAATTCGTGAAGCGTTCTCTTCCTACCTCCCCCCTCCCTCTCTCTCCCTTCCTGCCGACCTCCTTGCATACATCTCACTCTCTCTCTCTCATCCTGCCTGCCTCCGTCTTCCTCCCTCCCTCCCTCTCCACACAAATGTATTGAGTAAAATAAAAATAGGATAGGACCCGGGGCTCAACAGAGGCGAGGGTTACTGTGCAATGCGACCCGTAGGTGTCCAAACGCGTTAAGTCCCGCGCCGGAGTTTGCGATTCCATCCAATTGCGCAGGAACACAAAAAAAAATCTGATTTCTCATTTCGATCAACGTCGCTTCGCATTAGGAGCCGGCCGCGGCGTTAGATAATCAGCAGTGCCGCCCCGTGAAAAAAGTGCTAAAGATTAATAATGCACGGCGGTTATCTTCTCCCTCTCTTAACCCCCCCACCCCACGCCAACACGTGCGCAGAGCACGTGGCAGTGAGTGGCTCTTTGCTCACCAAGTCAACAAAGGTTGCGTCCTGCATGGAGCCCGTGGCTGAAGCGAACAGCTGTGTAATGTGAGCGCTCATTGAGGAGGACGAGAACATCCCCGTGACATGTCACGATTGATGTCCCCCCCCGCTGCCCCCTCCATCAGCAGTAAAGACACAAAGACAAAGATTCCCCATATTTTTGTTTTAATAGAGCCAAGTGCTGTTGGCGAGTACCTGAGTTGCAAGCACCACGTCCGGCCGCATTTGTCTCCCCAGTGCTGCTGATGTTGACACCACTCCACCAGGTACTACATTTGTTTTAACGCTGAGTCGACCTACGGGAGGTCCAGGACCGATTTAGATATTCGTCATTGATGTTGGCCGTGAGCGGGAAATCTAACTCGGGTCGCCAGGGTTGTTAGCCCATTGCGCTAACCACTACGCCTCCACTTGCCACTCACAACTCGCACGCGCGCACAAACATTAAGACGCACGGATACACACACCACACACAAATACACGTAGACAAGGATTTACCTGTGTGTGTGCGCACAGCATATTTATACTGTGTTCCGCAACTCCGATTAGCACGGTTGGCTGCGTACGGTGCGAAAGAAGTTCGCCATCAGAATGACAATGTGTATTTATACTGGATGAATGCGATGAGCTATAGAGCTTGTTTCACAGATGTCCAGTGGGACATCCCGAAGGATAACGCACATACGGTTGGACATGCACCTTGACTTCCACCACTAACATAATCGACCTCTCCCAGTAGTGTAGCGGTCAGCGCGCTGCGCTACGAACCTGGCGACACGGGTTCAATTCCCGCTCACGGCAATCACCAGTGACGATTATCTGAACCGGTCCTGGGCCTCCCCTAGGTCGACTCAACCTCAAACGAGTACCTGGTGCAGTGTGTAAACATCGACACTGGGGAGACAAAGGCGGCCGGGCCTGGTGTTGGCCACTCACCTCCTCGTGTGTCGTGCCGGCCTTCATAGGTGCTCGCTAACAGCACTTGCCCCCACAGTCTGTTAAGGCTATACGGGGGATCTTTGTAATGGATCGTGCGCACAGAGACAGGGGGAGCCCTGCCATTACCACAGACTCGCGCTTTCGTGCGGTGCACTTTGACATTTCACCAATCACACAGTCATCATCATCGTCGCCGTTGTTGTTGTTATTGTTGTTGTTGTGAGTGTGCACGAGTTGAAGAACTGTCAAATATGGAATTAAGCGTCGTACTTTACTTCTTGGAATGAAAAGCTGAAACAACGTACAAAGCGATTCACTCCAACACTCACACCCCACGCACTCTGTCGCCCCACGCACTCTCTCACTCCACGCACTCTCTCATCCCACGCACTCTCTCGCCCCACGCACTCTCTCGCCCCACGCACTCTCTCACCCCACGCACTCTCACACCCCACGCACCCTCTCACCAACTCACCCCACGCACTCTCACACCCCACGCACTCTCTCACCCCACGCACTCTGTCGCCCCACGCACTCTCTCACCCCACGCACTCTCCACCCCACGCACTCTCTCACCCCACGCACTCTCTCACCCCACGCACCCTCTCACCCCACGCACTCTCTCACCCCACGCACCTCTGTCGCCCCACGCACTCTCTCACCCCACGCACTCTCTCACCCCACGCACTCTCACACCCCACGCACTCTCTCACCCCACGCACCCTCTCACCCCACGCACTCTCTCACCCCACGCACCCTCTCACCCCATGCACTCTCTCACCCCACGGACCCTCTCACCCCACGCACTCTCTCACCCCACGCACTCTCTCACCCCACGCACTCTCACACCCCACGGACCCTCTCACCCCACGCACTCTCTCACCCCACGCACTCTCTCACCCCACGCACTCTCTCACCCCACGCACTCTCTCGCCCCACGCACTCTCTCACCCCACGCACTCTCTCACCCCACGCACTCTCTCACCCCACGCACCCTCTCACCCCACGCACTCTCTCACCCCACGCACTCTGTCGCCCCCACGCACTCTCTCACCCCACGCACTCTCTCACCTCACGCACTCTCACACCCCACGCACTCTCTCACCCCACGCACCCTCTCACCCCACGCACTCTCTCACCCCACGCACCCTCTCACCCCATGCACTCTCTCACCCCACGGACCCTCTCACCCCACGCACTCTCTCACCCTCACGCACTCTCTCACCCCACGCACTCTCTCACCCCACGCACTCTCTCACCCCACGCACTCTCTCACCCCACGCACTCTCTCACCCCACGCACCCTCTCACCCCACGCACTCTCTCACCCCACGCACCCTCTCACCCCACGCACTCTCTCACCCCACGCACCCTCTCACCCCACGCACTCTCTCACCCCACGCACTCTCTCACCCCACGCACCCTCTCACCCCACGCACTCTCTCACCCCACGCACCCTCTCACCCCACGCACCCCTCTCACCCCACGCACCCTCTCACCCCACGCACCCTCTCACCCCACGCACTCTCTCACCCCACGCACTCTCTCACCCCACGCACCCTCTCACCCCACGCACCCTCTCACCCCACGCACCCTCTCACCCCACGCACTCTCTCACCCCACGCACTCTCTCACCCCACGCACTCTCTCACCCCACGCACTCTCTCACCTCACGCACTCTCTCACCCCACGCACCCTCTCACCCCACGCGCCCTCTCACCCCACGCACCCTCTCACCCCACGTGCTCTCTCACCCCACGCACCCTCTCACCCCACGTACACTCACACCGCGGCGCGCTGTCACCCCGCGCTGTCACCCAATGATACCTCCACAAAGTTACCCCCGAACACTCCGGCTCTGAGTGCTATTCCGTGCGTGATGGATTCTGCAAGAGTGATTAATTTCGAGCCCATTTAGGTGTCGGCTTCCTTCCTCTCGATTATCTATGTGCAGAGGTGACAGACAATATCATCATCATCATCATAAAATAACCACCCGAAACATTCCCCAAATGCCCTCATTTACGCACTGCCGCTGACAGCTAATTTCACGTCGACTTGTTCTCGTCCCACCTTCGGAAATCTTTCGCGAGGCTGCCGACAGGTGTCACGTGGAATAGCTCGCACGGGCTCTGTCCCTCTGCTCTCTCTCTCTCGCATCACCCGTGTCTGCTCTGTGATGGAGCTCGCGAGAGTCACAACATTTCTCGAACTCTCTTGCCCTGCCTCGCCTTGATATAAACGACAGGACACTGCTCTTCCTCAGCTGAAACCATCCGCTGCTGGTGATCGCTATTGCCGCTGTTACAGCCGCCACCGCTGCTGCTATAGCTACTGCTGCATCGCGAAAATAACAATTGCGCTTCATTTCTCCACGCGTCGTTCCGATGTGCGTTACCATCCACGCGTAGAAACAGCCACACGGTGAAGCAAGCACATCCGCTAATTGAATCCTTTAAAGATGTAAACGGTGGGAGGGGATTAAACCAATCCCAATTACCGGGGGAAATGCAATTTAAAACAAACCGCCGAGTCAGTCTATTGAGTGAGCTCTCCGTTTAGCGAGATACAGATTCGCCAATTTTGGGTGATTCCCATGAATATCGATGCAAAACGGAGGGCCGTCTCAGTGAAGAGAATGTGCGCTCAGAAATGCGTCGGGGAAAACTCGCCACACACGCTCGCGTACAGACACATCTGGAGTGGATATTCGTACAAATCCCATCGTCAGAACAGAATAGAATTGTAGTGCAGGCCGCAACTCCAATACGCTTCAGACAACCCACGTAGGCTGCGTGCAAAGAGCGCACGCCACAGCATCTCTGCGCGTTATGCAACGACAAAAAAAACAACGCACCAGCAGTTCCCGAGGAACTGCAATTATTGACTACTTTGTCTAAGGTCACCATCCGGTCCAAGGACAGTGCATATCATTATCATGATCAGAGTTGTTTCTTTTTGTTTGCATTTTGACTGCTTGTGTTGTGGTTATTGCAAACATGATCCCTTGTATAAAGGTGTCAGTTTTTGTACCGGTTGAAAGGGTATCACTAAACTGTGGACCTGTTTAGTTGTTATGGGGACTCATCAGCACTCACCAAAGCGCGAAATTCAGACCGCGCTCACACAGTGAGTGGCAGTGCCCCTCGTGGCGAATAAGGCCATTGCATTCCGGATAAAGTCTTTTTTTTCTTCAAAATATTAAATAAGACAAACTCTTTTAAAGTATTTAGACGCAAATGTTGCCCAAACTACACAGATGTACGCAACGAACCAGCCCGGTCATGGTTCGATTCATGACCACGCGTTTTTAGCAGTTTGTAATTTGGCGGTTATAAGCATCGGCAGTGGGGAGACAAAGGCGGCCGGACTTGCCAAGTGCCGGCCACTGTCACCGCCTCATCGTGTGCCGTGTAATAGGTGCTCGCAAACAGCGCTTACCTCTGGCAGTCTGAAGGCCAGCAGAAGGGGTGTCAATGTAATGTGTCAGTGTGTATCATCACATCTGTACCGAGGCTCATGCATTAAACATGGGGTAAATGAATTCCCTATTAACCCGTGCCTGTGCAGGAGGCCTTCATCTACGGTGGGTGAGTGGGAAGGGCGGGGTGGGGGGTGGGGGGTGGGGGGGGGCTTGGGGGCTAACCCCCCAGACGCCCCCTCACCCCCTCACCCACCCGCACCCACACACCGCACTCGAAAACAGGTCACTCACGTAATGGTTTCAGGCAGCTGCACTGTTTCTGTGTGTCGTGTTAACTGAATATTAGTCGGCAGACCGCTCGACTTTTGTAAATAGGCCCTGGGGACTCACTGAGCCTCGTGACTCTTGTTTTTTTACGCGGGGATTTGCCAAGTTGCGTTTGTGATAGCGAGGTCGCTGATTAGAAGAATATAAATCTGTTTAGTTTTAAATTTATATATATTTAAGTTATTTGTTTACATTTCCTATACTTTGCACTCATGTCGTGTTTGCATTGTTTGTTGTAACGTTCTGGCCCGCCCATTCTGGACCTCTGTGGAAAAGAGCTTCATAGCTCATCGGATTCCTCCAGAATAAATACAGATTCTGAATCTGCATGAAAATTCCAAATGATTAATACGCGGTGTAATTTTTTCAAACCCTTTTTTCACATTTGGGCCACGAAGCCGGCACACCATATGCCCGACCCTCACGAAGGACGCCAGGAGATCTCTAACGTCCACCGTGACGCAGACTGCGCGTAATATATATTTTTACCGTTAAATCCACCCGCAGTAATAACCAGGGCGTCCGCTTGAATTCGCACCGCGGGGATCCGCAAACAACGCGGCAAACGCGCTGCCTTTGCTTTGGGCGTCACGAACACTGTGCCACTAACGCAGCAGTGACGTCACGAACACTGTGCCACTAACGCAGCAGTGACGTCACGAACACTGTGCCACTAACGCAGCAGTGACGTCACGAACACTGTGCCACTAACGCAGCAGTGACGTCACGAACACTGTGCCACGAACGCAGCAGTGACGTCACGAACAGTGTGCCACTAACGCAGCAGTGACGTCACGAACACTGTGCCACTAACGCAGCAGTGACGTCACGAACACTGTGCCACTAACGCAGCAGTGACGTCACGAACACTGTGCCACGAACGCAGCAGTGACGTCACGAACACTGTGCCACGAACGCAGCAGTGACGTCACGAACACTGTGCCACGAACGCAGCAGTGACGTCACGAACACTGTGCCACTAACGCAGCAGTGACGTCACGAACACTGTGCCACGAACGCAGCAGTGACGTCACGAACACTGTGCCACGAACGCAGCAGTGACGTCACGAACACTGTGCCACGAACGCAGCAGTGACGTCACGAACACTGTGCCACGAACGCAGCAGTGACGTCACGAACACTGTGCCACGAACGCAGCAGTGACGTCACGAACACTGTGCCACGAACGCAGCAGTGACGTCACGAACACTGTGCCACGAACGCAGCAGTGACGTCACGAACACTGTGCCACGAACGCAGCAGTGACGTCACGAACACTGTGCCACTAACGCAGCAGTGACGTCACGAACACTGTGCCACGAACGCAGCAGTGACGTCACGAACACTGTGCCACTAACGCAGCAGTGACGTCACGAACACTGTGCCACGAACGCAGCAGTGACGTCACGAACACTGTGCCACGAACGCAGCAGTGACGTCACGAACACTGTGCCACTAACGCAGCAGTGACGTCACGAACACTGTGCTACTAACGCAGCAGTGACGTCACGAACACTGTGCCACTAACGCAGCAGTGACGTCACGAACACTGTGCTACTAACGCAGCAGTGACGTCACGAACACTGTGCCACGAACGCAGCAGTGACGTCACGAACACTGTGCCACTAACGCAGCAGTGACGTCACGAACACTGTGCCACTAACGCGGCAGTGACGTCACGAACACTGTGCCACGAACGCAGCAGTGACGTCACGAACACTGTGCCACTAACGCAGCAGTGACGTCACGAACGTTTCACGGTGACGCGTTTAGCTCGTCACGAACAAATCCCAAAACTCGCCGCGTGGGATTTCCCGACGAGACACCGCCCAGGTGCGGCTTCACCGTCATCACCATCATCATCATCATAAGCCAAGATCAATACACTGCTGGATGGAAAGGCTTTCTTCCCCCAGCCGTCACCATGTATCAGGACCCTACAGAAAAAGAGCTGTGTGGGTGTGTGGGTGTTTGTGTTCCTTGGGTCGCGTTGCTAATCACAATCATCATCAGCATCAGCAGCGTGCCGATCAAGCAGTGGCCGTTATAGGCCCGTTATCTCTCAAGGTCAACGATTGTTTATCTCTTTGCCACCAAATCCCCCTCCCGTAGCGTCCATTCCCACGTGAGAATCAATCGTGAAATCCCCTCTCGCCCTGTGAAACCCTGAACGGCCTTGCTCCCAAACTCACCACCGCGGTGGCGTCCTCCGCAGTGCTCGCCACCCTCGACTCACCGCCACGTCCCCCACGCTCTCGCGGTTTCATCCCCCACCCCACCTCTCTCGCACTCTTCAAATGTCAGCGGAGTTCCGTTTGCGCTCCGCTCTCCCGACTCTCCCTGCGTTTAGCCTCGTGACCCTGCTCATCACTCGGCGTGTTTGTGTAGCGCTATAGACTGTACCGTATATTTATTTATTCCACATTTTTAAAATGATGTTGTATAACCGCATTGGTTTTAACTTCCGAGACGTTAATTATATTTCTGCATGAACGTCTCCCTCCCCACGCCGTGTCGGCCGAGGGAGTTTTTGGAGCATACTTCACTCTGCTGTCCTGCGTGGCGTTGGTGAAGCGGTGGGCGGAGAGGAGGGGGGGGGCGTGTGGGGGTGGGTCGGGGTCTAGGGCAGGTTCAGATATAATTTGCCATGAATGTTCGCAGTGGCGGGGAATCTAACTCATTAAAAACAGCAAGACGCCCGTTTCACCTTTGAACAATTTAATGAAAGTTACATTGCCATCCAGCAACGCTAATCTGGACATTTCAATAAACAATCCTCATTGCAAATCATGGTTCCGGAAGGCGTTTAGCTGATGGGCCAAAATGTCATTTGATTTGATTTTCTGAGATGCTCTTTCAGATTTTTTTTGTTTGCCATATAGCTGCGCAACCTTTTTTGCTGTTTCATTAACCTTCCTATGTCCCGCAACGTTCTGTTGGGGCATCTCAGCCTCCGCGGACGACGATGACGACGATGAAGATGCCTCGAGAGATTTCGTTTCTTCCATCTCACAATTATTTTGGCAATCGTGCTGTGGGCGATCGTGCCGTGAGCTCACTGTATTTCCATCCGGAACTCTTTTGCACAGACCCAGGGCGGCATCCCGTCTCGTGGTAAACAGAACGGCTCCGGATATAAATAGGCGTGTGCACGTGCACAGCCCTTGGTCAATCCACTGCTGGACGACGACCACAGCACGCTGGTCAATGTGAAGGAGGCTAACGAAATTGGCGAGATGCGGAGAAACTTGAACGGTCTGCTCGGAGGTCGGGGTCGCGAGGTCACCGCGGCTGATGCTATATCTGCGCCACACCTCACCGTCGCTACTTTCCTTCTGCCAGATCCGACAGTTGCTGAAAAGTCGTCCGCTCTTTCAACCCCATCCTCACCGCCCTGCGGCTCTTACCCTGCGTCGCCGACTCCTGGGTACCTCTCCACTGCTCATCTTGGTCACACGCCCTCCTCCTCCATCCTGCACACGTGTCCCACCCATCACAATCTCCTATTTAAAACCTCCATGTGTCTTACCCCATCCTCCTACACCACTGTGCACACCATCATCTTTCTGTCCTTGCTTATAACCACGACGCCTTTTTGCCACGTTTAAACCTGAACCCTCAAGTCGGTTACACATCCTCCTCCATTCCGCACCCGTGGCTCACAACTCTGCTTTCTCGCCACTTTCCAAACCGAAACCCCAAGTTGCTCACCCTATCCTGCCAATTAAATCCCTGCCAACGTCCGCGCTGCAGTAACCAAGTGGTAGCGGTGGCCAGTGGTGGCAAGGTTGGTGGTGGCGGCAGTGACGGTGGCAGTGGCGGTGATGGCATTTTCCAGGCGGCACCGGGCGAAATGTCACCGCGACTCCATCAAGCCACGCTGCAGCCGCCTCCACTCGGCGCTGCGAGTCGGACGGTCGCGCTATTATAATTTCCCGATTACTTTCCTCCTCTTTCTCGATGCGCCACGCTCCGTCCGCTAAATTTTTAATGCTTGGCATTTCATTTATAATTCCACATGCGTCCCCGCCAAGGTGTACGGTGTTGCCAGAGCGAACTGCGGGGCAGGCAAGGGCCCCCCTTTCCGCGGGAGATGAGGGGACGGCAGGAGGGGGGAGGAGGAGGAGGAGGGTGGTGCAGGGAGATGAGGAGACGGCAGAGGGGGGAGGAGGAGGGTGGTGCAGGGAGATGAGGAGACGGCAGGAGGGGGGAGGAGGAGGAGGGTGGTGCAGGGAGATGAGGGGACGGCAGGAGGGGGGAGGAGGAGGAGGAGGGTGGTGCAGGGGGATGAGGAGACGGCAGGAGGGGGGAGGAGGAGCTGGGGTGGTGCAGGGAGAGGAGGGGGGGAGGAAGGGTGGTTGGGCGGGGGGGGCGGCGGACGGATGAGATCATAGTGGGCTCACACATTTGCCCGGATTAATGCTGCCCGCAGCAAATCAATAAGTGGCAGGCGGATGAAGGAATCATGCTCACGAATGACTGAATGGAAGAATGTAACGGAGAGTATCGTTTGAGTCAGCCGCTTTAGTCTGGCGTGTCGAAACGGGTTCAGCGTGTGCCCGCTTAAACACACACCACGTGTGTATTTCACACGTCCACATACATACACGTGCGCTTTCGCACACATTGCCACATGCATGACTGTGTTTATAATATGTACGTATGTGTGTTGATATGTAATCTATCTCGACTCATAGAATAAAGGCGGGCGTGGTGTTGGTCACCCACCCCCTCGTGTACCGTGGCGACCTTCATAGGTGCTCGCGAACAGCAATTGCCTCAACAATATGTTAAGGATATACAGGGGATATTTGTGCATG